TTCCTTTTTAAATATAAACTTGTAAATACATATATAAGTATATGTATGTATTCCTAAACGATGTATTGTTTAGATTCTCTTATTCTTTATAAAAATTATATATTTTATATACTCTTCTTCAACTTGCTTTCTTCATTCAGTATTTCTAAGATTCAGCCATGATGTTACATGTATCTATGGTTCATTCATTTTTGTTGATATATAATATTCCATTGGGTAAATCACCACAATTTTTTTGCCCATTCTCCTGAAATGAACATTCAGATTGTCTTAATATTTTTGTTATTACAAGCAGTGTTGCTGGTGCACATTTGCAAGAGTTTATCTAAGGATATATAGATCTAAGAGTGGACTTGCTGGGTATTCACATTTTCAACTCTGTTAAGATAGTTCTGAATTTTTTTCCAAAGTGATTGAACAAAGTTACATCCCCTCTACCAGTGTATAATATCTTCTTGATTTTCACTTTCACCAATCCTTAGTATTATCAAACTTATTATTACCAATCTAGTGACTATAAAATATTATCTTGATTTTACAGGTTAAAACTAATGATAAAGTTGAGCAACTTTTCACATTTTATTTGCCATTTGGATTTACTGTCCTGTAATATATGCCTACCATAACTTTTGATCATTTTCCACTGGGACTTTTTTTGATTTGTAGGAATTCTCCCTATATAATCTAGGTATTATTTTTCAGTGGTGGGTAATATATCTTGAATATATCCAACCCTATTCACATAAGCTTTTCTCATTCAGTTCTCAGTGTTCCTCAGGTCCTGTACATTTGCTCATAGGTACTGATGTTTTCTTCCTGCAGTAGCAATACCTCATGTTTATGTGGGATAACTGGTTTACAAAGCACTCTCACAAATCTTATCTCATTTGAGTCTCTCAACAACTACTAAAAGAGAAGTTGGGTATTATTATACTTGTGTTATAGATAAGGACACTGAGTGGCTTGCCCAAGGTCACAGGGCTAATAAGTCCTCAGACTCCATACTCCATATCCCCCTTATGATTATATGATGCTTCAGCTGTTTATCGATGGTGGCTTATTCATTTAAGCAAATGCTGCACTTCTGCTTAGCACCTTTACTTCAGTTCCTTCTTTTTTATGTTTATAATTCAAGATACAGCTCTAGTCTATGAAGTTCATTCTACATTCATTACCTACAAGATAATGTAAGTATCCAGATGAGTAAAGGAAGCTCCAAGATGATTTTTTAATAGGGTTTTTTAAAAAAGAATGTCCAGGAGGATACTAGAAACCACAACAGTTACCTGTTCTGGGGCAAATCACATTTTTGAAAGTAATGGGTCTATTATGTAAGAAAGCTGATTTCAAATTCAGTATTTTTCTTTCTTTTGGCCTTTTAGAGAGTTAGGAAGAGGAATATGGTGAATAAAGAGAAGAAAAATGTACTTTAATATTTATTAGTATTATCTAAATTGGCTGTTCTATTTATGTCAAATACTGATTTTCTATTTATTTATTAATGACTAAATATTATTTATTTGTTGTATTAGCTATAACTAATACTTATAATTAGTATTAAATGTTGAACTTGTAATGGGAAGTGATATTGATAGGACAGTAATTCCATCACTCAGGCTCTGGCTGAAGCTCCTACACCTGGGCAGTTGAGTGAGAAACCACCTACTGTGGGAGCCCAAGTGGGTGGGATGTTAGCTCTCAAATGAGAGATGCCCAAGTGTTACCTGTCAAGCATTTGAGACAGTGAAATGTAGTACTTCTTACTTTCTGGGAGTTGTTAAATTCGTTCATTCATTCACCCTCAAGTTGATCAAACTACTGCATGTGAAACCTTTAATCATTTGGTAGTTTTCATAGATTATTCAATTTTTATGTACATCACATACACCAGAGAAAACTATGTTTGATGAAATTAGCAGTAATAAGAAAGGACCTGAGTATAAATAAATAGCATTCCTACTCTGAGGTATTTTAATCACCATATAATAGTTGTGTCTTAAGCACTTCCTGGGTACATCCCTTGATGAGTAATAAAGAAATAGAACCTCATTGTATCTTCTTCTCCAAAGAGAAAAGTTTTAATAGCAACTGTCTGTTCTACAGATAATTACTAAATATGACCTTTCCTAGGTCTCTTTTTTCTAGTATAAATGCATCTCCAGTTATATACCTAGTATTTACTCATCAAATATTCCTACATCAGTGTCCAATTTAAAATTTGTTGGCTTGGCTATTTTATTTTTGATTAGTGGAATTTTTGCTACTTTAATTAGGGTACTGAACATCACTGTCAGTACTAAGGTTTTTGTTTTTGTTTTTCTTGGGTCTTGCTTTTTTGGCATGTGTGAATTTTGTTTCCTATAAAACAAAATGACTTTCTCGTGGTCTCTGATGATGGTCTCCTTTAAAATTAAAGGAGCATCTGGTTTTGGTGTGGGGATGATCCACGATTACGTTGTGACTGATCTATGTTAGTTACTTGTACATTCTTTTTTTTTTTTTTTTGGAATTTCACAAGGGGAAAACTACAAGTAATGAGTTTTATATAATTAAATTTGTTACAGGTTTTCATGTTCAGGATAAACGATTTTTCAACCTTGGGTGAAAAAACTTGCATCAGTTTAAGGCGGCTGTGTTTTACCTTAGGACAACTGTTGCATGCCAATTTGCGCCTGCACACACGCGCGCGCGCGCGTGTGTGTGTGTGTTTAAACAGTTAAAACTGAGTTAAAAGATGTAAATTTAAAATTGGTTGTGTATCTAATCTGCCCCAGGTTCAGTAAATAAACAATTCTTTAAAAACAAACAAACAAAAAAATGGTTGGCTTGGTCCTGTTTCCATGAAGTGATGGTTTCTCTAAGTATTTTGTTCTGAGTCTGAGAGCTGTGTACATGAGAAATAATATATGGCTGATAACGAGTACCCTGTGTGTATTTCTGAGTCAGGTACTATACTAGGCTCATAAGGCTCACTTTGAATAGGGGATAATTATACCACAAAGTGGTAAGCATGAGAGAGAGGTGTGCATAAGGGGAGAAGGGTACCTAATGACTCTAGAATTCAGATCTGTGTTTGGAGAGAATGAGTTGAACTCTGTATTGGTAGTTTTGAACTCTACGTATTTTATAGTTGTGTGTAAGGATATGGGTCATCCCTAATGACCCATACATTCCTAATGTAAGGGGAGAGCCATTCTTAGATGGGCAGCTTCTAGTGTCACTTGGTCCAGGGCCTTGAAGAGGCAAACTACCCTTTTGAGAGAAAGGGCATTCTTTACATTTTCACAAATTCATCTCCAAACTAACTGGTTTAAAAAAACCTATGGATAATGTGACCACATAACTTAATATCCACTTTGCCTAGGACAAGACAAGATTTGTGGGATATTGGGACGACAGACCCAAACAAGGACTGTCTCAGGCAAATAAACAGTCACTTTATATATGGAATGAAAAGTGACCTAGGCCTTTATGAGGTGAGCTGGGAGGGTTGATTTGATAGATTCTACCCTCAGGAGAAAAAAATGTCAGAAGCCAGAGACTTCTGTTGCCTTTTCAAGGGAAGGACTGTGGATTTTTTGTTGTTGTTGTTTTTAATAAATTTGTTTATTTATTTATTTTTGGCTGTGTTGGGTCTTTGTTGCTGTGCACAGGCTTTTTCTAGTTGCGGCGCACAGGCTTTTTCTAGTTGCGTCGAGCGGGGGCTGCTCTTCGTTGTGGTGCGCGGTCTTCTCATTGCAGTGGCTTGTCTTGTGGAGCACAGGCTCCAGGCGTGTGGGCTTCAGTAGTTGTGGCACATGGGCTCAGTAGTTGTGGCACATGGGCTCTAGAGCACAGGCTCAGCAGTTGTGGTGCACGGGTGTAGTTCCTCTGCAGCATGTGGGATCTTCCCCAACCAGGGCTCGAACCCGTGTCCCCTGCATTGGCAGGCAGATTCTTAACCACTGCGCCACAGGGAAGTCCAGGACTGTGGATTTTTAAAGAGTTTACAAAGGCCTGAAATCTTTGGCACTTCAATTTTGATTTTTAAAGATTCCATGCTTTGCCATTATATTTAATTCCCAATAATTCGTTTCCCAATATGATTAAAAGGGTCTTTATATTGGTCTTTAGTGACAGCAAGAAATGGGACTCTGGGGAAATGATACCTCATTCAGCTGTCACTTTGGATGTTGGTGGGGAAAGAG